GTGCCGCCGCCGCCCCCGGAGGCCTGCCGCCGCTCAGCCTTGCACCCAGCGCGAGAAGAAGAGACCGCCCAGGATGGAGAAGCACGCGATGGCCACGGCTGCCACCAGGATGGCAAAGGCGCCCGCCTTGCTCTTCAGCCCCAGCCGCCCCTGCAGCCGCTCCATGAGGCGGTCCATGAAGGGGGCCAGGGCGGCGGCGCCGGCCAGGCGGAAGGGCCGCGTCACGTTGTTGCCCGCCCACCTGCGGGCGGCCGCAAGGGTGTGTGAGGGCGAGGCGGGGCGCCGTGGTGCAGCTGCAGGCCGATGCATGCCGCCGCGTGCAGCAGGCGGCAACCGCCGCCTCACATCAGGATGCAGATCTTAACAATGTCTGCCACGTTCTGGGTGGGGTTGAGCCCCGTGCGGGCCTCGTAGCCCAAGAAGGCCAGGCTGAACGCAATGGTGTATGTCATGGCATCAAAGATGCCTGCAGGCGGCACTGGTAGGGAGGCCTCTGAGGAGTGGCAGCCCCTGCAACAAGAAAAGCGTGCGCCTCCCCGCCTCCCCAGCTCACCATAGGACAGCGCCGCCGCCAGTCCAAGCGAGGCCAGCCGCTTCCGCAGATCCGCTGTGCGCTGCTGCTGCGCCCGCAGCCAGCCCCACAAGCCGCCACCGGTGTAGGTGCTGGGCGGTGCGTCTGTCGCCGCTGGCCTTGGCGAGGCCACCTGCCCATCAGGCTCATGGATCGCTGGCGTCGAGGCATCGCTACCGCTGCTGTCAGGCACGGGCATGGAGGCCGCTGAGGCCAGCAGCGACAGGCGGCGGTGGCGGCGGCTGATGGTTGCTCGGCGGCAGCGGGGTGGCTGTGGTGTCGCTGCCGCTGGCTTGCAGGCGCATGCCGGATGCACATCCCACCCCGGGATCACGCTCCGTTGCGCTGCGTGCATCCCTGAGGACGGGCCCGCCTGCCACTTCCGCTGACCGATTTGGCAGCCTACACGAGCGCTGCTCTCGGTGTCTGCTCTCCCAATACACGGGTGTACAGTAGGTTTGGGTTCGCGGCCCAGAAGAAGATGCGGAAGAGGCAGCGAGCGCCACCCATCCGCCGCCGACAGCTCAGCACACGCGACGAGGTCACAAAGAGGAAACAGTCAGTCTTGGCAGTAGAAGTGCTGTTCTCCAGCAGAAAAAGGAAACAAATGCAACACTTGGTAAGACGCTTTGACACTGAGAGCCAGTGACATAGGGTAGGGGTGCCGCCGCCGCCCCCGGAGGCCTGCCGCCGCTCAGCCTTGCACCCAGCGCGAGAAGAAGAGACCGCCCAGGATGGAGAAGCACGCGATGGCCACGGCTGCCACCAGGATGGCAAAGGCGCCCGCCTTGCTCTTCAGCCCCAGCCGCCCCTGCAGCCGCTCCATGAGGCGGTCCATGAAGGGGGCCAGGGCGGCGGCGCCGGCCAGGCGGAAGGGCCGCGTCACGTTGTTGCCCGCCCACCTGCGGGCGGCCGCAAGGGTGTGTGAGGGCGAGGCGGGGCGCCGTGGTGCAGCTGCAGGCCGATGCATGCCGCCGCGTGCAGCAGGCGGCAACCGCCGCCTCACATCAGGATGCAGATCTTAACAATGTCTGCCACGTTCTGGGTGGGGTTGAGCCCCGTGCGGGCCTCGTAGCCCAAGAAGGCCAGGCTGAACGCAATGGTGTACGACACGCCATCAAACAGGCCTGCAGGCGGCAGGGAGAGGAGGCAGGCATGGAGGAAGAAAGGCTGGCAGGGCCTGCCTGCCGGGCTGCAGTGACAGCGCTGGCCAACAGGGCAGGCTGCCACAGGCAGTGCTGCCAGCGCTGCGGCTGAGCAGCGGGAAGCGGCGAGGGCAGATGCCAGCGCCACACCCACCGTAGGACAGCACTGCCGCCAGGCCCAGCGCCGCCAGACGCGTCCGCAGCTCCGCGCTCTTCTGCTGTTGTGCGCGGATCCAGCCCCAAATGCCGCCACCGCCGCTGCTGCTACTAGGCTCCACATCTGCCGCGGGGGGTGCCGCCACCGGCACCTCTGCGCCAGAGCCGTTGGTGTCTGGCTGAGAAGCGCCGTTGCTGCTGATGTTGCTGCTGTCCGGCGCTGGCATGGAGGCCGCCGAGGCCAGCAGCAGCAGGGAGCCACGACGGCGGCGGGTGGGGCGGCACCGGGGCGGCAGTACCACAGCTGCGTTAGCCGGGCGCCTCACGCTAATCGCCCTGGTCTGACATAAACACGCAGGCATCGTGGCAGCCATGGCTGGGAGCGCGGCTGGCACGCGCACAGCAACTGCGACAGCCAGTGGCGGAAGGGGGAGCGCGCTTGGGCACGTTTCAGCGGTCAGGCCAGCCTAGGTGTTCACGATTGCTGCGTTTCAAGGCGGTAACAGCAGAGATGCATCGGAAACGGGCAGGTGGAAAACTTGGGCGCCGAGCTGCATTCAAGAAGCCTCCTTGCTGGG